TTTTTTTACAGAGCTAATATATGTTTTCCTGATTATGGAAAACCATAACAGACCATATAGATAGAAACACATGTTTTTCTCTTACACACATTTTGAGTTTTTTTTTGTTTTTTCGTCTCACAAATGGCGTAAAAGAAAAACAACAATTTCAGCTTCACGAATATTCAGAATTGAATTCCCCTAAATGTTTTAAGAGACTTTCAAAGTGATATAAAGAGCACTGACTCTACTTAATTGTGGCTTATTAGTGTCACAAGCTCATCAACACTGCCAGTCTTTTCATAACTTCTAAATACCATCCAAATGATATTTACTTTTGCGTGTGTATATACGTGCGTTTAAAATATGCATGCAAGAATGAATTCCTGTGTGTAAAATATGTATTAAAAATATGAATTCGGTTACTGTGTGTGTGTGTGTGTGTGTGTGTGTAAAACATGCATGGAAAATAAGAATTCCTTTTAATGTGTGTGTGTGTGTGTGTGTGTGTGTGTGTGTGTGTGTGTGTGTGTGTGTGTGTGTGTGTGTGTGTGTGTGTGTGTGTGTGTGTGAAACATGCATGGGAAATATGAATTCCTTTACTCTGTCTGTATGTGTTTGTGTGTATGTGTGTTTGTATAAATCATGCATGAAAAATAGGAATTCGTTTACTGTGTGTGTGTGTGTGTGTAAGAATTCCTTTTAATATATGTGTGTGTGTGTGTCTGTGTCAAACATGCATGTGAAATAAGAATTCCTCTACTCAGTGTGTATGTGTTTGTGTGTATGTGTGTTTGTATAAATCATGCATGATAAAATATGAACTTTACTGTGTGTGTGTAAAACGTGCATGATAAAATATGAACTCAATTGCACATTGCACATTCATATTTCTTTCTCGACCAGTTTCCGTTTTTTTTTTTTAATCAGGGAAAGACTTCAAGTTCACCCTGTATATCAGAGGAAAATTACTGCATTCAATCGGTATATTTGGATATAATTGACACAGAATTATAAATACGATACAGAATTATGGAAGAGTTTAAATTATGTGAAGTGATTCGGTTGTGACGAACAATGACGTTTTCAGAGATCAATTACTTTTGTGTGTGTGTGTGTGTGTGTTTGTGTGTGTGTGTGTGTGTGTGTTTTCTCGTGACTTCAGACAAGATTACGTTCATGTTTATTCCTAACCTTAAATCAGTCTCCTTATTTTCGTTAAAGTTAACTGCATTTGTGATTATATATATAGTTATTAATTGTATTAGTAGAGTTAAAAAGTGGGGGGGGGGTTATTTCCTTAAATACCATACGGAATTTTTCACAATAATGATAATTTCGGGTCATGTTTTCATAGCTAATATGTGTGTGTGTGTGTGTGTAATAAAATATCCCACGTTACGGTTATAGAACATAATGGACCGAACTCTGTATAACAGAATTACTTTTTACATTCATTAAACACGCCCCCTTAGAAGTGTTAGAAGCTGTATAGAAACAGTGTGTCGTATATTTCATTGTTATTAACCAACACCTGTATCCGAAGTTTCCACAAATAGCTCGCGAGAGGAGTGTAAGCTTCACGGCGCGGAGACACTTGTGTTCGAAACGCTCCAAAGTCCGGTCGACCGAATCATCCGGAGTGGTTCTGTACGGTCGCTAACACCGAGAGCCAGGTAGGACAACGATTCGTGCTGTATTCGTAGGTCTTGGTGGATTTTAGTGTGTGTGTGGAACAATTTAGTAGTAACGGTGGGTGGAATTACGCAAAAATTTGGTGGCAAGTTGAGACTAATTGCGTAAAATAGAGAGAAAAAGTATATAACCTAATGGTTTCCGATTTCTGCTTCTTTTAGATTTTGATTAGTCGAAAAGTATTTAGCATACGATCAAGAGCTGGGCATTTGCATACTGAGATTGATTTTTAAAGTAATTATCGATGCTAGCACAGACATTAAAAGTCTGCAATGTGTATAAAGAACATGCAGTGACTGCTGAAACTTCACAGCAGAAGAAAGTGGAGAAAAGTAGTTTGAAGACGTGGAATCGTAACGATTTTTTTGTATCATAGGCCTGCACAAATGGAACTCTAAATTCGCATAGGTTAAGTTGTTAAAACCAGAGAAAGACTATCTATGTTTAGTCCGGATACGAGACACTCAAGCAAGTTTCGGTGTGGAAATCGAAGCCAAACTATAACGATATATAAGAGAGAATTATTCAACGAGAGCGTCAAAAGGCATAACTAGAGGCATAGTGAGTAGTTTTGAAATAGTTTATACATTGCGATTTTTTTTACAACAAGAAGGAAAGTTTGAATTGCTTAATTGAATTAAACTTTTTCATGTTCTCCGAGCATATTAAGAACATTATATTAATCAACAATACGAAGCAGTGTGAGAGATGTGAACCAACTACAAGTCTCATTCGTCTTTGACTATCTTTTAGAAAGTCGTACACTATTCTCTCTCAAAGTATTTTTTAAATGTTATAAGGTCGTCACTTCAAGAAATACATGTGCTTCGTCGTTCTGCATAAATTAATTAGTGCAAATCCGCGTGTTTTGCACATCAATTAAGCTTCTTTTTTTTTGACAAAACCTACTCTCGACCTTACCCGTTGCTGCAGTTGACGATTCTGATTAATCCCCCAATATTTATCGTCGCTTGAAGTCAACATTGCGCAAACAAAAACAAAAATGCAGTAGGCATTTTGATATCTACAAAAGCAATAGCAATATAAAACTTGTATTTGAAGTCTCTTTGTGATCAGATTCCGGAAAATGAATCCGAAATTGTCATTTTTTTTCACTCGCTTGTGGTTAGTAGTGTCAAGATGTCTCCCATGGATGATATAGGAAGACGATCAGCTGTTAAGACTGCTTTGAAAGTCATAAGACCTTTTCCTTCAGTATAGATGTCCAGTGGATGGGAATTGACGGGTCCATGTCCAGGATAAGGAAGAATTAGGGAAAGTCTTATCACTTAAAAGATCACCCTTGTTATATAAGGCTGTGAATTATTTTTATTTCGCTCTATTTATCTTTATCTATTTATTTTTATCTATTGTCCTTAATTGTCTATCTACGTATTCATTTCGTACACAAAACAGATATTCACAGATAAACACACACGTACAGAAACATACGCGCACACAAACGCACACATGTACACTAATATACACATTCACACAAACACACACGTACACACACACGTGTTTTTACCTCTCTTTTGTTACAGTTGTGTGTTAGTCTGTGAGCAGGTGTGCTTGTCTAACTGTTTCCGTTCTTTTTCTATAACAATATCACCTTTTACACTACAAAATTGTTTTCCATTACACAAAACAAACACACACACGCACACATACATACATACATACATACATACATACATACATACATACATACATACACACACACACACACACACACACACACACACACACACACACACACACACACACACACACACACACACACACACACACACACACACACATGTATATATGTCTATATGTATAAATGTATATAAATGTATGTGTATGTATGTATATGTGTAACACACACACACACACATGTATATGTTATATGTATAAATGTATGTATATGTATGTATATGTATGTATGTATGTTATGTATGTGTATATGTGTATATATGTGTATATATGTGTATGTATGTGTATATGTGTGTGTATGTATGTATGTGTGTGTATATGTGAGTATACGTGTATATGTGTATATATATGTATATTCTATGAAAGATGGAATAATGCATTACCGCATTTTTATCATGAACATTATAACCTCTCCGATCGGGATTCGATCCCTCGCCGCCAATGCACGTGAATGCAAGACGGCCGCTCTACCACTCGTACAACGACCCACTCTAAAAGGAGTGAGCAACTAGGCGCTTACTAGCATCCATAGACATTACCTACCTACTCATACATGAGTAAGGATAGCGAAGTTTCACACTCACTCCCCGTGGGCACTCGGTATTTATGGACAGAGCAGGACAAATCCCAAATCATAACCTGAGGTGCATTCTATGAAAGATGGAATAATGCAATACCGCATTTTTATCATGAACATTATAACCTCTCCGATCGGGATTGCCAAAATTACTTTCCATACATATGACCTTCCCTTTCATATCTGCATTGGTGAACAATCCCTCCCTGTTCGACCACACTCACCTCCTCCCCGCCAATGCCAAAACTGTTGGCACTTTGGACATCCTGCTGTTCCACAACTCGATACCCGCTATGTGCCCAACTCGGTCATAACCGACCAAACTGCTCTGCACAAACACGCACATGTGCTAACTGCGGCGGCCCCCATAGTGTATTTTATAGAGACTTGCCCCACCTACAAGTTTGAGTCTGAGGTAGCAACTCTCAGATACCAACTTGGTCTCAGTCTACATGAAGCCAGACTGGAAGCACGGCACGTATTGGCCACACCCGCCTAACACATGCCTATCTAATGCCACGCTCTGACCCGCCCCTATGCAATGCCCTCTTTCAGTTTCCTATATTATGTCGTCCTGTCCACGAACCTCTGTTTTTCCCCACCTGTCCTCCTCTCTCTCTCTCTCTCTCTCTCTCTCTCTCTCTCTCTCTCTCTCTCTCTCTCTCTCTCATCTCTCCCTCCTCCTCCTCACATTCACTCCCCCTCTCCTTCTCTCTCAAAAAAAAAAAAAAAGTCACCAGAGAGACTGCGAGGTTCTCTTGGAGTCTCTCTGGTGACTTTTTGTCCAAACATAGACATCATTACAGAATCCCACAGCTTCTGCTTTGACAACCTGTTCTCCTTCCTCAGACGCATAAATACCCTTCACTTGATCTAATTCCCTTACCTAAACCACCATAACCCTTTCCCTCATCAACTCCTTTACCCATCTTCAACCTTTCAACATTACTCTTGATAGTTGCATTGGAATTATCCCCTGGCATCACCCTTTACTAAACCTTCCTATTGTGCTATATGACCTTAGATG